CCTTAGAAATTCACGGCCCTTTCCAGATTCCCTTTCTACTTTAGGGAAAGTGACAAGCATTAGCTTAAGGACAAATAAAGGGAAGGACTTCTCCCCCCAAACAAAGGACGTGACCAACTACCTAATAAAAAATTGCTGTCTCTTAGCACAGGGCCAGGTGGGAAGCAAGAAGCCAGAAGGGATGGGTCTGGTAAGGAGACTGTTGGGAGAGGTAGAGTCCAGAAGAGACTCAGCTACTTCAAGACACAGAAAAGCTGACAGTACTGAGGTCCCCAGGTAATCCTCAGTTAACCCAGCAATTACGCTCCCAGGGATGTACCTAACCGATCCGCCTACGCAGTTCCCCTTGCACAATGGTGTTCACGGCAGCACTAGCTGTAATAGCCAAAAAAATGGAAACTCCTCAAACGCCCATCAACAGCCGAAGTGTGGATGGTCACATGATGGAAACTACAGAAGAAAGACAATCGACCACAACTACATCCAGAACCGTGCAAGAATCTCACAATGTGCAGTGAAAGAAGCCAGATCCAAGAGGATATTCTGTGTGATTCTTTTACATAAAGTTCAAATACAGGCAAATCAATCCATGGTATTTGAAGTCCAGATAGTGGTTTTCTTGGGGGAGGGTAAAGACGGGGAGGGAAGTGGCATTTGAGGTGCTGATAATGCTGTTTCTTGATATGTGTGCTAGGTACATGGGTGTTTAAGTGTGTGATGTTCATCGAGCTGTATGTACACTTATCATCTGGACACTTTCTTCCACATATGTTATTCTTCAATAACGGTGGTTCTTTGCATGGAGATCATTCAGCCTCAGGACCGAAGCCTCCACTGATTTGGGGAGACAGGCCCTTCTGTCCTTCCCCCTCCTCCATCATCCTCCAAATGCTTTGCAGAGCTATTGTTTCCTAGAGACTCATTGCTCATGGTAAGCCATGCTTTCCTCACACAGCAGGGAGGTGAGGGCACCCTGCACGGGTAACCTAGGAACAGAGTGCCATGTGAGGAGATGAGAAGAGAGACTAGAGGTTTGAGACCTGCTCCCCAGACACCAGCTAACAGTGATGTACGTCGGGCTTCGGCAACCAACTCTACTCGGCTGCTGAGCCAGGAAGGCAGCTGGGTGGGCTGGAAGCCCCAGTTCCCAAATATTCATTCCACAGAGGCAGATTTATTGGGCACCATGGACTGCCCCTGGCCTTACTGCTGACTGCCCCAGTGACCTCACACCAAGTTTCTTACCCTCGTTTTACAGCTGAGTGGGAGTTACCATCACCTGCGCCGCAAGGCTCTTACAAGCATAAAAAGTAACTAATATTAGACAGTCAGCTCCACCAGAGCAAGGTCTTAGTTTTGTTCATTGTTTTAGCCGCCATCCTAGAATAGTGCCTGATATATGCAGATGCTAAATATATGTTTACTGAAAAAATAAAATGTAAATAGAGGGCATAGCCCGGAATGGGAGCTCCAAAACAAAGGGCAATTTTTACATGAGTTGAAATAAGCAAAACCATCTTGAAGTTAACTCCTGCTCAGTCAAATTTATTACTGAACTTTGAAGTTTTCTACCAAAGCTAATGAGGGTTAGCTTTAATCTTACCCAAATGCTGACTAAGGGTGAGTTGAACCTGCAGAGGGGGCCATAATGAAGAACTGGATTTCTTTCACTGTAATTAAGCTGCTTCTCTCAACTGTTCTCCATGAAGGATGTATAGACCACTTTAGGTCACTCACTTTAATCACTGCACTAATACCATGAAAGCTCCTTCCTCCCACCTCTCCTTTGTCTTTGCTTCTAGACCACCCTTGAAGGCAGACCCCAGACTGTGGAGTTGGGGTGGGGGAACATTCCTGCTCTACCTCCTTCCAGATTAACCTCTCACTCTTGGTCTAGGCAAGCCTGGCTTCACCTGCCCCAAGCCCCCATCACTAGGACACTTGAGAGACTGTATGCAAGCTGGTTTCCCCTGCAGGAACGTTTCTGGAAAACCCTAGGATGAAAAGGAATAAATGACTAAGCGCTCTTGGGGTAAGGGGTTGCTACTGGTGGGATTTGGTGCTCCAACATTCCACTTCTTCATTTCATCCACCTCCTACTTTCTGGTGGTAAAAAAAAATGCCATGGAACTTGGGAGTCAGAAACTTCCATTCAAGTCACATCTGGTCACTGCAGAGATGACTTTGGGGAAGCCATAGCCACTGAGGTTTCATCTGTAAAATGGGCAGAACTTCACAAGATTGTCATAATTCACACAAATACCTACTGGGACCTATTAAGCACCAGGTCCTGGGCACAAACCTAGAGGTAAAAGTCATGTCTGTGACCCTCAAGGAAACTCACTAGTTTAGCCTAGGGAATTGAATCCATTAAGCTGTTCCTGTGTTTCTCCACCTCTAAAACCTCCAGCAGAGCTGGGCTACAGGGTTTCTGAAGTCCCAACTCTGGGATTAAGAGTTCAAGTTGTTTAAATGTACATCACCAGCTTCAAGAGAACGTCAGGAGGATAAAGCAAGTTCAGAGTTGTGCAAATGCTTTGAAGAGGAAAGTGCACATACAAACAAGGTATTAACTGTATCAGATAATTTCTTTGAGCTCAACTTCATAGACACCTGTGAAATTCATAACCCAGGGGCGAACAAGGGCAACTGTTCCTTAGCTATAGGGAAACTGTTGTCTGCTTGGCCAAACTTGAGAGTTTGTATGTACCCTCAGGACAACCCTTTCAACATGGCTGGATCCAGGCTGGAGCTCCTGTGTATGGAGGACAGGGAACTGGGGTGGAGGTAGAAAAGAGGTCAGCTGCTGAGGACTAAGGGGAGAAATACCACTATTTTTTGCCGGGGAGTCCCAATTTATTGGGACAAATTGGGCCCAGAAACTTGCTTTTTTTTTTTTTTTTTTTTTTTTTTTTTCGCGGTACGCGGGCCTCTCACTGTTGTGGCCTCTCCCGTTGCGAAGCACAGGCTCCGGACGCGCAGGCTCAGCGGCCATGGCTCACGGGCCCAGCCGCTCCATGGCATGTGGGATTTTCCCGGACCGGGGCATGAACCCGCGTCCCCTGCATCGGCAGGCGGCCTCTCAACCACTGTGCCACTAGGGAAGCCCCCCAGAAACTTGCTTTTATTTAAAAAGGCAGCATCCCATTTCACAGGAAGACTGCTCTAAGAACTCGGCACGTTGCAGGGAGCTGCACTCAAGGTTAGCCAAGCACATTAACCCACGTTTTGTTTTATAACCTAGGTGTGCTCCTGGCATGAACCCACCATTTTCACAACCATAAACCAGACATCCGAGAAAGCAGAATTTTCTCAAAAGGTTTAAAATGCCTGACGTCACCGAGAAGCACTTGCCAACCGGACCGTGAAATCGAAAACCTGATCACTGCTTCCCCCCCAAGAACCTCAAGCTTAGTGAAGTGACAGTTAATCTGATATTTCTTGCTTCAGTAAGAAAGATAAGGCACAGACAACACTCAGAGCCACAGCCTGCTCTCCCAGACTGTAGTCGGGAAACTTGACAATGAGGGGGAGGGTGTACAGATTTGGCAGAAGTCTGGTTAGCAATAAAGCTTCCTCAGGGAGCCGGAATTGGATTTGGGGCCCTGCCCAAGTTAACATTTTTACAGGTTGGCTGAGTTGCAGTTTGTTAGCCAGTCAGTAATAAACCCATGTGCAAGAATTTAAAGTTTATGAGGCATGGCCTCTTAATGCTTCTCCTCAGCTCCCCTACAGCCAAGAGTTTAAGGAGATTGGCCTGGCCTGGGTGTTAATTGTTTTGTCAATAGGCAGAGTTATTTGGGGGAAAAAGAAGAAATAAAGGCTTCTACAGAACTCAAGGCCCCCACTCCTCTTTTGGAGAAACAAAGGAGAGCCATTCTGCGCCCTAGGCAGCTCTCGCGCACATTCAAGCTGTGGGAATTTGTACCTGGGGTGAGGGGTGTGCTGATGGGGGCATTAGAAAAATGCTAGGTGGCACAGGTTTTTAAATTGCTTTGAAATTTTTAAACTTTAGATCCCCTACCCAGAAAAATGCATACAAGTTCTTAAACAATTTCACAGGTTAAGGATCCTCTGGAAGCTCACCCAAGGATCCTGGGACACACCTTTGTTTGAGAACTTGGGTTTGATCCGGTGGAGGAACCCGCACTGCCCTGGATGGAGAGAGGCCCCCATCAGCCGTCAGCTGCCTGGATCTCATAACACACTGGTTCTGAGCACCAAAGTAAACCCCACCCCCTCAAGTTTTTAAACCGTAGAAGAAACTGTGAGATCAAAAATGTGCTTTGATTCCCCACCCACTGCCCCTACAGCTCAAGACCTTCTGGCTCCTCGACCCCCACCTCCCTCAAGGGCCCTAACATTTCAGTTCCAATACACTGGGGGTCGGGGGGTGTGCCCAGTGCGTGATGGCCCCAGTCCAGGTGTGCCAGGCCCAGTTTTCAGGCAGGCTGCAGGGGCGCGGGCCCTCCGGGAAGGGCAGGGTTAAGAGTGCATTCCAGCTGCCGGGCAAGAAGGGGGGCGGGGGAAGGGAGCGCGAAGAAGAGAAACAGACCTGGTCTGTCAGTCGGAGACACAAAGCACGGTACACAAAGGGGGCCCGAGAGGGGCAAAGGGGGCTGCCCGGGGCACGGCTCATCCCCACACCTGCGCGGGGGTTGCGGGAGGAATGTGGAAGGCGCATTCCTCCGCTGGGGCCAGCAGGGGAGAGCTTCCCACGTCCGGGCTGGGTGAGCGGCTCAGCCGCCCCGCACCCCGAAGGAGGGGGTCCGGGTCGGCCGCCGCAGAGGGGCAAGGAGGGGCTGGACGTCAGAGGGCGCTACGCTCTCCGGCCTCTCTCTCCATACGCCCACCCCCATTCCAGCCCCGGGGATGCTTTCTGCGCCTCCCCCGCACCTGAGGAGGCGCCAGGAGCCCCCCGCCGCAGCCCGGACACCCTCAGCGCAGCCCCCGCCTCGAAGTTCCGCCAGGCGGGCCCCCGTGGGGGGCGGGGGTCTTACCATTCCCCCGCGCCCGGCTCCGCTCCAGCTCCGCGCCTCGCGCCTCCAAGGTCACTTCAGCTTCCCCGAAGCCTGCCCGGCACGGCTCGGAGGCCGCGCGCGGCAGCCAGTAAACCTGCGCCTAAGGGAAGAGGGGAAAAGAGGGAGGCTGGGTCACAGGCGTGCCCGGCCCTGCATACCCATCCCGGGGAGTCCTCACAGGCTTTCCCGGACAACCTTGGCCCCAGGCAGCCCAGTCCGGCTCTCTCCCCGACGCCACCGCCGCGTGCGGACCCCGCCTGCCCTCTGAGGAACGTCCCGGCAGGGGTCAGGCAAGGCAATGGAGTACCTGGAGTAAGAGGAAGAAGCGGAGGAGGAGGGACGCGAGAGGCCCACTAGGGAGCCCCATGGCTGGAGAGAGTGAGATGAAAAGCTGCCGCGACTGCGGGTTAGTGCTCCGCTAAGCTCAGCGCGTCCCTTTGAGAACCGCGGCTCGCGGGAGCCAGAGGGGGGGGGGGGGCCAGGTGAGCGCAGGTAGGTGCTGATTGGTCCAGCGCCGCAAGGTCCCGCCTCCTCGCAGGTGGGGCCGGGGCTGGATCTGTGGAGGCACCCCGAAGCGCCCCCCCGCACTGTCCTCTCCCGCGCCCCTCCTGCGTTCTCTCGGGTTTTCCGGAGTTGCTCCCGACAGAGACCCAGGCCCTGTCTCGCAGATTCTGGGTTCGAGGGGGAAAAAAAAAAAAGGCAACCCACTCCCCGCCGCACACGAAGAAAATTGTTTCTGTGCCTTGTGGGAAAGAAAGTGGAGATGCATCTGAATCCGACTGGAAACAAAGGCGCCCCATTCATGCTCCCCCGAGGCTCTCTGTTATCCAAGGCTTTGATGGAGGCCGGGTGTGTCCGCCCCACACCCGGCTACAGCGGGGGGCGGGCGGGTACCTCCTGCCTCTTTCCCCACCTCCCACATCAGCCTGCCCCCAGGACTCCGAGTGTTTAAAACTGGCAGTGAGGTCCCGAGGGACGGTGTTACAGAATCTGCTACAACTTGCGGAAAACTCATTACTTCCCTGACACAGCCGAACAAAAGGAGGCTGAGAGAGAAGATCCCAGAGATCGAAGCCGTGGTGACGCCAAAAGGTGCGAGGTAGAGGGGTGGTTATTAGCCCCATCACCTCCAGCAAGCTTCCCACCCCCCACGTAGGATATAAATAATTAACAATGTCTCAAGTTTTGTAAAATGCAAATAAAGGCATTTTGAAAATCGCGACTGTTTTTATTGGTCTAAAATACCTACTATAATCTAAGTAAAAACTGCTGGCTGCGAGAAGCAGCCTTCCAGTGAGTCTCCCTACGAAGCAGCTCTTCTGTTTCCTTACTGGGGGACATGCGACGGAGCTGGGATTCGTTCCTCTACTTCAGACCCGAAGTGCTTTACCCGTGGCGGCACGCAAGTGGGCCCCGGGCCCTGAAACAGTCCTGAAACTCAGTCGCTCCACACTGCACGCCCTCTCCCCACCGAACTGAGTTTTCCCAGCCAGTCACAACCTCCTGTTCCCTGAGGCCTCCCCACCTTCCCTAGCTGTCTTGAGAATCTCAGGCTGACTCCTCAATACGTTCCTTCCTCCTACCCATCTCAGATTTAGGGGTTTGAGGAGGAGACTAGAGTCTCTAATTATAGAGTTTTTGGCTCTCAAGGGCTAGCCTGGAAGCCTGCCTGTCCTTCCCACCACCAGGCCTGCGGCTAAGAGGACAGTTTGCCTTGCGATCGTGGGAGTCCTCTCTCTAGCCGACCAGGGGCTCTGGGGCCGCACCGCCTGCGTTCAAACCCGGATTCCATCACTTATTAGCGCTGTGACCTCAGGCTAGCGAAATAATCCCTCCGAGCCTCAGTTCCGCATGCATCTAGTGGGGGCTATTATGATATCTGCCCTCTATAAAGTACTAGGATTGAATGAATTAATACATATAGAAGAGGATTAAATTAGCACGTTTAAAACGCTAAACTCAGCACTTGGCACAGAGCTAGCGCCCAAATGTTGCCTGGTATTATTGCTTTAGGATCCAGCTCATTTGTCCTCCGCCTCACGAGCCGTTTCTTTCCTCTATAGCACCCTCACGTTCCCCAAACTAAGAGAATGAGAAACGCTGTAATCCTTCAATTTCACGGCTGATGGTAAAGCGAGCAATTGGCATCTGGTATCAGGGGAGCGCTCCGTTATCCCGCCTGTGGGCCCGGCAGCTGGGGGTTGGGGATGCACGACGCGCAGGAGAAGCCCGAGGCTGCTGACTGAGCTCCAAGCCCCTCGCCTCGCTCTCCCGCAGGGGGCGCTTTCCGTGTCCGAGGGGAGGTTAGATACCCGCGCAGAGGCTTTTCGAGGCTGCGCCGGCCCCAGACAGTACCTGGTGGCCCCGCCTATCCTCGCCCCCCAGGTTCCTTTGCGCCCGCCAGGAACCATATGCAGTCTTTAGGCGGACAGTTAAACATCAACGTGCGTCGGGATACAGGTCCTAATTAAGTAAACACCTGGCTGGAGGGCAGTTGAACACGCTCATTTCCGCCTCCTTCCAGGGCACTCAGCATTCCGGGCGGGGGCGGGGAGGGGAGAGGAGAAATTGAGAGTCAGCTCTTCTGCCTGCACCTTGGACCACACTGCTGTCTTCTCTGCAGCTCCCTTAGTCGGTCGGCCGTTCATTCATTCATTTAAGAGATATTTGCTGATAGCCTGTTGTGTGCCAAGCACTGGAGATACAACAGTGAACGAAGCAAACATCCCTGCATCCTTGGACCGTCCATCACAGAGTGTGAGGGTTCAAGGAAACTAACTAAGTAACTATATAGCATGTTAGATAATGTGTACTATGCAGAAGAACAGAATGGGAAGTGCCAATCCACGGAACAGAAGGTAGGCTGGAAACTGTAAATAACATAATCTAGAAGGTGTTTAGGTCAGGGTCTAGTGGGAGACAGAATCCAGCACGGATGGTTCTAGTCTTAGTGAAGGGACTAGAGGAATAGGCAGGGTTCAGGAACCAACAGGGGTGTAGGAGGTCCGGAGATCAGCAGCAAGCAGAGAAGCAGTTACAACTTGGAGGACTGGCGGGCAAAGGGAGGAAACGGTATCATTGGGAGTGGGGGGTTGGAGGGGAGGGGGAGCTGGAGAGCTGAAGCGGAGGACCACCCCTCCCAAATGCAGCTGTGGTCCAGGAGGGACAGGCCACTGCCCACAGCAGAGCAGGAAGGATGTGGGGGGGAAAATAACTCAACATCTCTCTCCTTTCACCCTTCATCTTCTGGCATTGCCTGCCATGGACCAAACCCACCCAGAAGCCTGAGGGCAAGAAAGCCCGGGTGGTGGTGTTTGTAGGGGTCATCTTCCCAGGCACAGGGCAGAGAGGAGAAAGGCAGAAAATGGAGGAAGGGCTGATGAACAATGGGGAAAGCCCAGAGGCCTCCTTGAGAAATGAATAAAACCTGAATGAAGTGAGGGAGAAAATTACATTAAGCATATCTGAAGAAGGAGTATTCCAAGCAGAGAAAATAAGTCAAAGGCCCTGAGACAGTAGATTACTTGGGACAGGAGAAAAAAAAAAAAAGGCAATGTGGCTGGAGTGCAGTGAGCAAGTAGGAAATGAGTCAGATTTGGGAGGGTGAGGAACAAATCTTGTACAGCCTCATAGGCTATTGTAAAAACTTTGCCTTTTACCCTGAGCAGGAGGGGAGGAAGGCACTGGAGGCTGTGAGTAGAGGAGTGGTGTTGAGAAGACTACAGGAGATGAGGGCAGAAACAGTGAGGTCAGTTGGGATCCCACTGCAATAAGCCAGGCAAAAACTGAAATGGCTTGGTTCAGGGTGGTCATTGTGGAAGGGGTAAGAAATGATCAGACTAAAACAAACAAAATAAAAAGTGTTGGTGAGGATGTGCAGACGTTGAAACACTTGTGCACTGTCGGTGGGAATGTCAACTGGTGCAGCCACTATGGAAAACAGTAAAACAGCTACTAAAACAAATTAAAAATAGAATTGCCATATGACCCAGCAATTCCATTTCTAGGTATATACCCAAAAGAATTGAGTGTAGGGACTCTAACAGATATTTGTATAATACATCTATGTTCATAGCAGCATTATTCACAACAGTCAAGAGGTGGAAGCAACCCAAGTGTCCACTGACAAATGAATGGATAAACAAAACGCTTAATAGGTACAGAGTTTCAGTTTTGCAAGATGGAAAGAGTTCTGTGGATGGGTGATGGTGATGGTTGCACAAAAATGTGAATGTACTTTATGTCACTGAACTGTATGTTATGTGGACTTTACCACAATTTTTAAAAGTTACTTTAAAAAAGTGATCAGACTCTGGGTATATTTTGAAGGTATTGCCAACGAGATTGGCTAAAGGATTGGATGGGGGTGTGAGACAGAGCAGATCAAGGATGACTCCAGGGTTTGGGGCCTGAGTAACCAGCAGGATGGCAATACCATTTCCTGACATGGGTAAGGCACATGTAGTGGACACTGTCAGGGCACTGCTCAGATCCCCTGGGATCCCTTTGTTGGTTTCTGAACTCCCCTTGTTTGGCTTCTGTGTGCTGATTCTCCCAGCAGCCTGTACATGTGAAGGGCCAGAGTCTTGCCCATCAGCTACTGGGGTCCCTTTGCCCTTGCAAGGAAGTGCCCAGGAGTTCACTTTCCCAGCCCTTAGCCAATGACCAAGTGGTGCTGGAATGTGGAAGCTGAGCGCTGGCCCGCCTCCCCCCAAACTCCCAGGGGTAACTTACATCCAGCATCCCCTGCTGGATCAGGCTGAAGCTACCCTCCAGGGACTTGGTCTGAAATCACACCCTTGCTTGGCTTCTTGCCCTCTTTATCTTGCTTCTCCACTCCCTCACCAGTTCCTCCTGGGAGCCCTTCCAAATTTAATAAGTCACTCAGGTACATGAATCCTTGTCTCAGGGTTAGCTTCTTGGAATCTCATTGCAGGTAGAGCAAGTTTGGGATTAGGGGAAGATCGGGACTTCAAGCTGGGACGTGTTCAGAGATGCCCAGTAGTGGCATGTTGAGGAGGCTGTGGTTGGAGACACGGGTCCAGGGGAGGCGTCCTGCCTGGTATATACCTTTGTCATAATGGAAAAGCATCTATTTGTGGAGAAAGACGTGCCCAGGGAGAACCCTGAGCCTCTGGGGGCCTTCCCATCTCCGCCAGAGCATGGCCTTTTTCAACACAGATGTTCATCCCGTCCCTGATGCCTTCCACCCAGACAGGGCTGGGACTCTTTCACTCATTTTGCTTTTTCAGAAAGAAGTGCACCTTCCCTGTGCTTCTTGTCTGCATTTCACATTTAAACACGTGCTACTTACTGTCTTGTGGGATCTCTGGCATTGTTACTTTCATCTGAGTGTCCTTCCGCCTCACTCTCCAGTACCTCTTTCCCCCTCCTTGAAAGCTCCTGGGGTCAGGGATCAGGATGAGCAGAGTATCACCTCTGCAGATTTCCCCACAGCACCCTGCCAGCCAAAGGCCTGTGGCATTTAAGTTAGGGTTGGCAGACCTATGTCTGAATCTTGCCTCTGAAAACGACTGCCTGGGTGATCTGGGGTGAGCTCTTTCATCTCTCAAAGTCCTCTGGAATGAGTAATTCCTATTTGATGAGTGATGGTGAGAATTATCCAAAACTGAACTGACCTTCCTCTGCAATTCTGCTCCTCCCACAGTCTTTCCATCTCAGCCAAAGGCAATTGCATCCTTCCAGCAGCTCAGCCTGCGCCGTCTTTCACTCTCTGACTCATCTGCTACCACTTGCTCACTCTGCTTTCTCAGCGCTGGCCTCCCTGTGGTTCTCCGAACACACCAAGTGTGGGCCTTTGCACAGTGCTTCCCTCTGCCTGGATCGCCCTTGCCCAGATGTCCACCCGCCTTTCTCCCTCACTCCTTCAGGTCTCTGCTCAAATGTGGCCCCTCTGAGAGGCCTTCCCTGACCTCCCTACATAGAGAGCCCTCTCTCATCACCCTCTTTCCCCTGCTTTATTTTTTTTCATAGCACTCATAGCACTTAATAGCACTAATCTATTAGTACACATATATATATATTTTTGGGTGGGGGAAGGCAACATACAGTAATGATTAAGAGCAAGGACTCTGGAGTCACACTGTCTGGCTTTGAATCATTAATGCAGCTCTTCCAAGCTGTGAGACCTTGGCCAAGTGACTTTCAACTCCCTTGTGCCTCAGTATCCTCATCTGTAAAATGGGATAAGCATAACAATACCTTCCTCATAGGTTATGGGTTAATATTTGTAAAGCACTTTGGAACATAGTGAACCTAAGTATTCATTAAATTGTATTTATTGTCGCTCTCCCCTCACTGAGTGTATCCTCCCTGAGAGGCAGGGATTTTTGTCTTTGTTCATTGCTGTACCCCCAGTGCACAGAACAGCCTGGCATAAAATAGATACTGAAATATGTATTGACTGAGTGAAATCAAGAATATAATAACTGTTAAGCATCTGGCAGGGTGCTAGAAGCAGAGGAGACACAAAATCAATGTGGGTTCCCTGACCCACCTCACAGAGCTGATGTGAAATCCAATGAGCTAATAGGCAGCAAAGTGTTTAGCCAAGTGTCATACAAATAATACAAGTCATAATAAAATGAACTACTAGCACACTCTGGATTCA